TTCCCCCAGGACCCCCCCCCCCCCTTTGGGGGGGGGGGGGGGGGGGAGGGCAGCAGGGCAGGGTAGGCGGGCGGGCGCAGCCATCAACAGCCAGCCCGCTACAACCGCAGGTACCGCAGCGGCACGCATCCCTGCTCTCCCTGCCTCGGCCTCAGCTCCGCACGCGCCACCCCGCAGCGGGGCCGCTCCCCAGCGCCGCCCCGCTCCCGGCCACGCCAGCCCCCGCCCCACTCCCAGCCAGGCGCTCACGTCTGAAGAGGAGAGGCCGATGACGTCGTCGGGCTTGAGGGCGTGGGCGCGCACAAAGTCGCCCGCATGCTCCAGCACATACACGCGCCTCGACTCCATGCCCGCGCGTGAGCCTGCGGGGAGGAGGCGGGGCAGCCGTGTGTCAGAGGGTGGGGCCACGGGACAGGCTCCACGGCAGCACCTGGCTGCAGCGCGGCGGCGCGGGCGGCCCCGGACAGGCGGCGCTGCGCTCGTGCCAGCATTCACTCCAGCGCAGGGGGCGGCGGCGGGGGTGTGTGCTCACCGTTGGCCCACGACTGCAGCGTGAACTCCCAGGTCTGCTGCTGGTGGTCCCGCGCGATCAGGCTGTGCGCCTTGCCAATGGCAAACGACAGGTTGGCCTCCACCGCGGCGCGCGGCAGCAGGATGCGCCCCTTGCTTACATCGCTGCGGGGGCAGGGGGTGCAGGGGGTGGGGGAAGGGAGGAGGCGGTGAGGGGCAGGGAAGCCAGAGAGGCTCAACTTGGTGGAATGCTCGGGAGACCGGCGGAGGTCGGGCTGCCTTGCAGGCAGGCAGCAGACAGAGGAGCACGGGTAGCAGAGCGCAATGAAGCGGCCAGTCACCTGTTGGTCAGCCGCTTGGCCACCAAGATGGTGCGAGCGGGCAGGCCGGTGGAGGCGGGGGTCGGGGCATTGCGGCGGTTGCCGCCGCCGCCGCGTGCCGCGCCGGCCGCCGCGGCGGGCGCCGTGGCTGGCACGTGCACGGGCAGCGGGGCTGCACGCAGGCGGCGGCCAACAGGTTTTTTAAGTCTCGATTTCAGATAGGAGGCGAAAACGGCACAACATGGGCTGCCCGATGGGCGATGGGAAGGTCTCTGGGGCCGGATGCCGGTCGCAGGTGGCACGAAAAAGGCACGGGCAGGCGAAATACAGCAAGGAAAGTCGCCGGCGTCTGGCGGCGGGAGACTTATCGACTTTCCTTCTCAGAAGAAAAGCAACCTAGTACAGCAGCCAGCCGCAGGCCCTCAGCCATCCCGCTGCCATCCCCGGCTCACCCTGCGGCTGGCGCCTCTGCGTGGCGCGCGTGGACAGGCCCTCGGGCGTGACGTCGGGGTCCGCCGCGTCGTCGTCGCCGCCCCCGCTCTCCTCCTTCTTCACCTGCGGCCTGCCCACCACCGCCGGCAGCACCGGCGGCAGGCCGTTCTGCCCGCCCCCGCCCAGCAGCGTGGCCATGGTCACAGCCGCCTGCGTGGCGGGGCTCAGGGTGGCGGCCACCGCGGAGCGTGCACGAGAGGAGGCCGAGACGCGCGGCGGCGAGGCGGGCTCCTCGTGCTCGCTGGGCACATAGTCCTGCGGCGGCGGCAGGCAGGGGGCGCCAGGCAGCAAGATCAGCGCAGGGGCCTCGCACACAGGCAGGACCAAGCAGCCAGGGAGGCCAACAGTGGCTGGACTGCCCCGCAAGGAGGCATGCGCGCTTTCCCGGCTCCTCGGAAGCCTGCGCCAGCGCCCTGCGGCAGCCCCCTGCCCCAGGGCGCACCTCATCCGAGTCCACCTCCTGCCCCTCGTAGTCGTCGTCAAAGCGCCTGGCAGGGCGCCGCACAGTGCGGCGCGGCCGCGCCGGCTCCGCGTCCGCCAGCCCCGGCTGCCCGCCGCCGCGGCCGCGGCGGTGCCCAATGGTGCCGCTCATGGGCTGCAGGCTGGGGTCGCGCAACTGGCGCACCTCTGCGCCAGCATTGGGTGGGGCGGCGTGGGCCACGGGCTGCAGAAACGCTGCCACCGCTGCCGCCGCAAGCGGCGCCTCCTGCTGCTGCTGCTCGCCCTCCTGCTTCACCAGGCTGCCGTTGCCATTGGGGTGCAGCTGGGCCCCTACCGCCATCGCCTTGGGGCTCCCCAGCATTACCTGCCCGATCTGGCTGATCACCTGCACCGATGGGGCAGCAGCAAGGGGGGCCAGGCCAAGGGTCAGCGCCAGCCCTTCACGCAACATGCACGAGCAAGCACAGCGCGCCGCTGTGCAGGCAGCACCACAGGCGCGCCACCGACCTGCTGCGCCTTTGGGGTCAGGCCATCCAGGTGGCGGAAGTCGTTAAAGGGGTGCGCCGCCACACCGGCCGCCGCCAGCGGGCTGGTCGTATCCAGCGGTAGCGTCTCTGGCAGCTGGGCGGCCTGCAGTTTGGCCACAATGGTGCGGTCGCATGGCGGGCGCCCCACCGGAAACGGCTGCTAGCGGGAGGCAAGCAGTCTGCACACAGGGACAGCAGGCCGGCTGGCGTCCGGCGCACAGCCTGCCTCACCTGTGCGGGCGGCGGCAGCAGGCTGACCCTCAGGCCTTGGATGTCCAGGTTGGGTGGAGGCGCCACCACCGGCGGGGGCAGCCAGGCCGCCGCGGAGCCCAGGCCCGCAGCCCCCGGCTGCTGCGCCGCCAGGTTGAAGTGCGTGTATGTGTCCAGCACCTTTCCAGGCGAGGCACCCTGGGCCGACAGCAGGCCCCCCGGTGCCGCGGCTGCGCCGCCAAACTGCTGCCCCGGGCTGCCCAGGGGCAGCCCTGCTGCAGCCGGCTCAGCAGACACTCCATCCATGGGCACAGCGTCGTCCACGGCTGAAGCATGGCCCGCTGCCAGCGAGGCCCCCAGGGCCGCCGCGGTGCCCTGCAGCGGCGCCGCTGCCTCCGCCGCGCCGCCAGACGGCAGCGACTGCAGATCGCTGGCGCTGCTGCCTGTCCCTCCCCCTCCTCCTCCCCCCAGCAGATCCATTGTGGAGCGCTTCTGGCGCTTGCCGCCGCCGTTGGCCGCGCTGCCCTCGGAGCCGCCGCCGCCGCGCGTCTTGCCGGCGGCGCCGCCGCGCCCCGCCGCCACCGCGCCCGCCTCGGGCTCGTGCGTGTCGCCCACCACGTGCCCATGGTCGTCCACCCACCTGCGCACCAGGCCAGCAACAGCCCAGGTTGAGAACAGGCAGCCACAGGCAGCCCGCCGCCCCCCGAAAAACAATGCCTACATGCCCAGGGCCGTGCACCCAGCCCTGCGCAACACCCGGCACATGGGCGCTGCCCGGCACTCCACCTCTGCCTGCCTGGCTGCTGTCCCTGCTGTCCCCTCATGACCAGCCCCCGCCCACACCTGTACTTCTCTGCGCGCAGGTACACACGCCCCACATCGCCGTCGTCGTACTTGACCGTGTGGCGCTGCTGCGCGGAGCTGTAGGCGGTGACGGTACCGCGGTAGTACCGCCGCTCGGCCGGCCACCACACATCCACGCGGCGCCCAAAGTCCTGCAGGGGAGGGGCAGGGCGGGGGGCAGGCCGGGGAGGTGGGGCAGAGCGTGAGCGGGTGCGAGGGGTCTGCTCCCACAGGCACGCAGAGAAGGGTGCGCAACACGCCACAGATGAGAGGTGCTGGCTGGCGGCACACTGAGGGGCGCAGGCTGCTGCCCGCCCACCCACCCGCGTGCGCTCCGGCTGCGTGTCCATGGTGCCGCGGCAGTTGGGCGCGCCGCACTTGCAGCGGTAGGCGCCCGCCGCCGCGGCCAGGCCAAAGTGCTGGAACTGGTAGTCGTAGGTCAGCTCCTCGCCCGGCAGCACATCACGCAGCGAGAAGATGCCCACGCGCACCTGCAGGCTTGCCACGGGGCGGGGCAGGGTGAGGAGGGGAGGCGGCACGGCGGCGGAGCTGCGGGGCGGGCGCCCAGGCCGGCCTCACCTCGCTGTTCCCCGCGTCGTGCCACTTCTGCGTCTCGCAGTTGGGGTCGCAGCTGCTGTTGAGCAGGCGCGCCAGGTTGCCCTTGCTGCGCGCGTCGATGATGAGGCCTGCAGCGCGCGGCAGCGGGCCCCAGTCGGCACAAGCGTGCGTTCAGACCCCCCCCTCTCAGCAGGCCGTGCATAAAAGCAGCAGGCGCGCTGAGGTCGGTGGATGCCGCAGCTCATGGGCGGCGGGCCACCCCCACCTGGCGCCATCTCCATCATGTAGAAGTGCGGCTCGTTGCGCGCCTTGGCATCCTCCGCCCGCCGGCTGCACTCCTTGTCGTCGATGACCTGCAGGCGGCACAGGCAGCGGCAGGGGAGGGGCACAGCCTCAGCACCTGCCCTGAGAAGGACGCAGCGGCAGGTGCAGCGGCAGGCGCAGCGGCAGGCGAGCATGATCAAAGTTACCTCCTTTGCTGCTCGCCACGCCAACCCCACCCACCCCCGCCTCCCTCCCGCTCACCTCCCCAGCATACTCCACGATGAAGGTGCCCCGCGGGATGAAGGCCATGGCACGCACGCCCCAGCCCTTGTCGGGCGTGAGGTAGACCTCCATGGCTGGGGAGGCCAGCTCCACAAATGGGCGGTTGGTGCAGCGGTCGCCGCAGGGGCAGGTGCTGCGGTCGCAGTGGATGAAGCTGAGGCGGTTGAGGCAGCTGTCGCCGCAGCCAACCTGCGGCGCGGCGGCCGCGGCGCTGGCCGCCGCCGCCGCGCGGCGCAGGCTGCCGCTGCCGGTGCGCGTGGGCGGCGGCGGCGCGGCGGCCGCGCCCAGCGCCGCCGCCGACGAGCGCCGCTGCGCCCCCGCGGGCGCCTGCATGGCCAGAAGCTGCTGGGTCTCCAGCGGGAGGCCCTCCATGGGCTGCTGCTTCACCTCTGCTGCCACTGGCAGCGGCAGAGCGGGCGCCGCGGTGGCGGCAGGCATCGCCTCCTGCTTGACCTCCACAGCGGCGTGCCGCTGCGGCAGCCACGGCGCAAAGGCTGCGGCTACCAGCTCCGCCACGGCCTGCCGCTCCTCCCGCAGCGCCGCCAGCTCCTCCCTCCACGGCGCAAACAGCGCTGCCACGAGCGCTGCGGCAGCTGCCGCATCCTCGGGGCCCAGCGATGCCGTAGGCTCCTCAGGCTGCTGCGCTGCCGCTGCCTCAGCGCCATCCAGCTCCATGCCTTCTGGCTTGGGGTCTGCCTCCTTGGCTGGCTCCCCGCCATCCTCGGCGGCGCTGCCATCTACCTCCATGGAAGCAGGCTGCTGCTGCAGGCCGGGATGGCTGGGCGGCGAGGCGGAGTCGCGCAGGCCCGACGCCAGGTTGGCGACAGCGGCCATGGCCGCCGCAACAGCCTGCGCCTGCTCCTGCTGCTCCTGCGGCGCCGGCATCGCCGGCGGCGCCAGCTCCGGCAGCGGCATGGGCGGCGGCGGCGGCATGGTCACCGGGGCGGCCTGGAACAGTGGCAGCACGCCGCCGTTGCCCAGGCCCAGCGCGCTGCCGCCGCTCCCCGCCAGGCCGTTGCCGCTGCCGGCCACCAGCGGCTGCGGCGCGTGGCCGCCCGCCGAGGCCATAGCCACCGCCACCTGCTGCGCCGCCACGCGGTCGCGCCGCTCCTGGCTGAGCTTGCCGTGCTTGCGCACGTACCCGCCGCACTGGTTGCACAGCAGCATGTCGCGGTTGTCGGGGTGCCGCCGCCAGTTGCTGGTCTCCGTCACGCCGCACCAGTCGCACTTGCGGCCCTCCCAGTCGGTGCGCCGCACCCGCTTCTTGGCGCTGCCGCCGTCGGGCGAGCGCCCCGCTCCGCCATCGTCGGCAGCCGCAGCCGCGCCATCCACGTCTGCCGCCTCTGGCTGCGGCGCTGGCTGGAAGGCCAGCTGTGCGGCGGGGGCGGGCGCCGCAGGGATGGCACCCGCCGCCACCAGCGCCGGCAGCGGCGGCGGCGGCAGCACCAGGCGCTGCTGCTCCGCCGCCTGCTGCGCCGCCGCCTGCTGCTGCCACTGTGCCAGCTGCGCCTGCTGTCGCTGCGCCTGCTGCTGCTCCAGGGCAAACCGGCGGCTGCTAATGGAGGGGCCCACGGGGGCGTGGCAGTTGCAGACGGGGATGTCGTCCCGCAGCAGCCGCCTGCAGTGGTAGGGGGTGGCAGGAGAGGCGAGCAAGGCGGCATGAGTGCGCAGGGATGAGCGTGCGCCAAGCCGCCCAAGGCCGGTGGGCCACCAGACGCAGCAGAGCAAGCAGGAGCGGGCGGGAGCAGGCGGCGGCAGGCGGGGGCTGGGCCTCACTTGGGGCGTGGGCGCGACACCCACACATTCTGCCGCACGTGCAAGTAGGCGGGCAGCGAGTTGCGGCCCTCCAGCGCAGGCACCTCCCTGCCCTCGAAGCCCTCGGGGTTGGGGCCCGGCCAGCTGCTGCCGGCGCGCGGCCTGACGATGCGGCCGTCTACCACGGGCAGCCCGGGGCCGCGCCCCGCCACCTGCGCCCGCTGGCTGCTGGCCGCCTCCTCCGCGGTCAGCGAGGGGCTGGCCGCGCGGTCCTGGCCGCTGCCAGACGCGGGGCCCAGCAGCCCGCTGCCGGTGCTGGCGCCGCTCTCCAGCGCAAAGCGGGAGGGGGGCGCCAGGGCAGAGTGGCGGCGGCCGGCGCGGGGCGCCGGCTCGTAGTCGCCATCCAGGTCTGCAGGCGGGGGAGGGGGAGAGGGACAGGGTCGGGTGAGGCTGCCTGGCGTGGCAGGGGGGCGAGGGCATCGCAGGCACTAAGCTGGAAGCACAAGGCAGCGCCATGACCCCCCCACCCTGCCAGGCTGGCGGCTCACCTGGCATCTGCTGCCTGGGCGCAGCGCGGGCAGGCCGCGGCTCGCTGTAGCTCTTGGGCTCCCCTGCCGGCGCCACCCGCTTCTTCTTCACCACGGCGCTGCTGGCCACAGCAGCCACGGTGCCCGGCGCCGCCACGCGGCAGGCTGGCGCCGCGTGCGGCGGCGGCACGCCTGCCGCGCCGTCCCGCTGCCCCTGCTCCACCTGCTCCCTGGTCAGCGGCAGCTGCCAGTGCAGCGGGTAGAGGCCTGCAGCAATGGGGCCACCGCAGCAGCAGGCAATCGGGACCAAGCGGCTGGGCAGAGAGACACCTCAAGGCATGCCATCGCTGCCGTGCCTGCCACACGGCCTTGCCCACAGCCCAGCGTTAGCGCCAGCCCAGCAGCAGGCAGCCGGCGTGGGGCGCTCACCCAGCTCCGCAATCTTGTCCCACAGCGCATATGGCATGAGGACCTTGCCGTGCGGCACCAGCGGGAAGCAGCGGTCGACCTCGGCGGTGCCGATGGGCCTGCCCGCCGCCCACGAGAACAGCGAAGCCAGCAGGTCGTTGGCATCCTTGCCGCGCTGCAGGCGGGAGGGGGGCGCAGGGGCGGGAGCAGGGGCGGGGGCCGGGTGAGCAGGGCACGCGAGGCGGAGGCGGAGGCGGAGGCATGCGACGGCCGTTGCGTGTTGCTGGCCTCCTGCGCAGCCTGTGAACAATGACCTACGGGCCCCCACCGGACAGCGTCCCTGGCACCTGCCTTCTTGCAACAGCCCCGTCCCTCGCCCACCCCCTGCCTACCAGCTGCTCCGTGGCCATGGCCATGGCGGGCCCAAAGTGCTTGCGCAGCGCCGCCAGCAGGTCCACCACCGAGTTGGGCGTCTCCAGGCGCGCCGCCCCCGGGTGCAGCAGCTTGATGCGGTTGAACACGGAGCGCAGCATGTCGCGGGTGGAGGTGGAGCCGGTGCCCGCGGGGCGCGGCGACGCGCCGCCGCCCGCCGCCGCCACCGGGGCCAGCCCCGGCGTCAGCGCCGGCAGCGCCAGCGTGCCCAGCGTGCCGGGCAGCGGGATGACGCCGCCCGCCGCTCGTGCCGCTGCGGCGGCAGCCACGGCTGCGTTGCCGGCGGCCTCCACGGGCGTGCCCGCCGCCACCGCCGCCAGGGCGGCCGCAGCCAGCGGCATGCCCCCTGCTGCAGCAAGAGCTGCCGCTTCGGTGGCGGGGGAGGCCGCGTCGGGCTCTGCCTCGGCATCCTGCATGTCCACATCGGCCGCGGCCTGCCGCCTCCCGTCACCAGGCGCCTCCGCCTTGCTGGGTTTCCGCTTCTTCTGCTGCTGCCCTGCATCCCCCGCAGCCGCAGCCTTGGCCTCTGCAGGCTTGCCCTTCTTGGCAGCCGCCTTGTGCTGCTGCCTGGGCGCGGCCGCGGTCTCGGCCGCCGCCGAGGCGCGCTTCACCGGCGACACCTTGGGCGGCCGCTGCCACCAGCCGTCGGGCAGCGTGCCCGTCTGCAGGAAGGAGTGCACTTCCATGATGGCTTGCGTCAGCGTCTTCTTGCCCTTGAGGTAGCCCTTGGAGCAGCCCTCAGACCACGCCAGCACAAGCTTGTCGGGAATCCTGCAGCAGCGCCAGGGTGGCAGGGGGCCGGCGCCCAAGTGAGCTCACAGGTGGGGAAGCAGGCAGGCAGGCACAAGCAGGGTGCAGCAAGGGAGGGCGGCAGTCAGGCCAGGCAGCCGGCTGCAGGGATGGGGCGCACCAGGCCTTTGATGCGTCACCAAAGAACTGAACCGCGGTGTTTGAGCCCTTGGCGGGCTTGGCTTTCCGCAGGTCCTCATCCTTGGCAGCCCGGTCTGGGGCCATCACTTGGGCCTGCAGGACGCCCCAAGCGGCGGCAGGGGTGACCACAGCGGGGGTCAGCCATGCATAGCCGCCAGCACCCACATCCGAGCTGGCCAGGCATGAAGGAGCAGAAGGGCAGACGGCGGCATGACGGCGGCACTGTTCTGGGGCAGGCAACCCTGCCGGCGCATGGCTGCCAGCACGCCTTGCTGGCCCCCAAGCGAATTTGGCCCGCCTTGCACCCACCGGCCACACCGGGTAGCCCTTGACCTGACCCCACACTATGCCTTCGCTCTGTGCCACTGCGCCCAGCTCGGCGGTGCTGAGCTGGGCGCAGACGGCCTCAAAGTCTGCTGCCGGCATGGCGGGCGGCTGCTGCCGTTGCTGCTGCCGCCGCCTGCCGCCGCTGCCGCCGCCGCTGGTGCCAGCGGCCCGTGCGGTGGTGGGCCGTGTCTGCCGCCTCGCTGCTCCTGCAGAGGGACAGCCGGGAGGCCCCTGGTGAGGCGGTGCCGCGCGGGCGATTGGCAGCACGCCCTGACGATCGGTCGGCGGCACGCTCCTCAGGCAGCGGCACGCAATTGCATGGCTAGCTTGCAGGTCGGGGAGGGGTGCCAGACGCCGCCAGGCGACGTTGCAACCTGCGGGCGCCCTGTTTGGCGCCCTCTTGGGGCAGGGGCGCCCTGGCAGCCCAGACCCGTCCAAATTCCCAGCAGGTTCGGCACACTGTCACCAGACCGGGCAGCGGCAGCCCAGCAGCTGCCCCCCCCCCCGCAAAAAAGGCTTCACGTTGAGTGCTCGGCGGGCCCTGCAGCAGCCGTGTCTTGCAGGCTCGTGTCAGCTCACTCCCGCTGCAATGGCGGATTAGTGGTGCTCTGGAGAGGACGCCGCAACGAACCCCGCGGCGGCCGCCGCTGGCCAAGCAAAGCACGCAGCACGCTCAACGCCAAAACAACGAATTTGCCTTCTATTTGGGCCATGCGCCCATAAAGCACGCATTTGGGAGCATCCGGTCCCCCTTGGTGATGGCCAGGGCCCCCCTGATCGCCCTGCCGGATGGCCCCGGGGGGCTTTGAGCCCCATGGAACAGCGACTCTGAGCGCCATGGATGCCGTGAATCTCCAACAAGGGCGACGGGCGGCCGGGTGCATGACGCCCTCTGCCAGTGCAGCTGCCGTTGCACCGCCAGCGCCTACTGCCAGCCCGCCGCCACCCCCCGCCGACGAGTTTGTGATGCGGGTGGTGAGCCTGGAGCACTGCATGGCAGCACCCCTGCCCGGCGTGGACACGTGCTGGTCAGAGCTGGCGGGGTGCGCGGTGCAGCAGGTGCCTGTAGTGCGCATCTACGGCTCCACGCCTGCCGGCCAAAAGTGCTGCCTGCACCTCCACAAGGTGAGCGGCCCTGGCCCTGCCTGGGAAGAGGGAAGCCGCGGGTACCAGGCTGGCCCCGACTGCAAAGGAAGCAGCACCAAAGCCTGCAGCCGCCCTGCCACGGCGTGGTTGTGCTGGACACAGGGCGGGCGCCAACGCTGGGTGTGCACACCGTCTTCGCCTTCTCTTCCCCCTGCAGGTCTTCCCCTACTTCTACCTGCCCTACCCCCCAGACCTGCCCCAGGACCCGGCTGGAGGTGTGGCGGCAGCCCCCTGACCACCTCTTCCAGTGCCTTCCTGCTTGTTCGTTTGCTCCTCAAATGCTGCCCAGCCAACACGCTGCTGGCCGAGTCTTGACCAGCCATCACCACCACGTCTAAACCCTGCCCCGCCTGCAGCCCACTGGTCTCTCAACCGGCTCGCGATGGCCCTGGAAACGGCCCTCAACACCGCATCCTCCTTCCAGCAGCAGCACCAGCAGCAGCAGCAGCACAGCCCGCCTGGCGCAGGGCCGGCACCGCGCCCCGCGCCTCCACGCCCCAGTCCTGGCAGCGAGGGCGCCGCCGGCGGACGCCAGCGCGTGTTCAGCCTGACCCTGGTTCGCGGCACCCCCTTTTACGGCTACCACGCAGGTGCGGGCGGTGGACTGAAGTGGGCGGAAGAAAGAGGGCAGCATTCTGCGGTCCGATTGGACCTTGCCAACCGCAGTGCCTGCCCGTCTTCCTGCCAACTTTGCCCAGCCCCCACCTGTGCAGAGGAGTGCGTGTGGATTAAGGTTCTCATGTACAATCCGCGGGACGTGAGCCGTGCGGCCGAGCTACTGCGGGTGGGTGGGCTCAGGCGCAATGGTGCAAGCACGGATCTGCGGACAGCTTGCTTGTGTTCTAGAGTGAAAGGTCTTGCGGGCTGACCCTGTTGGTGCAGGGCGGCGCTGTGATGGGGCGGGCGTGGCAGCCACACGAGAGCCACCTGCCCTACCTGCTGCAGCTCAAAATCGACTTCAACCTGTCTGGCATGGGCTGGCTGCGCCTCAGCCAGGCGCGGTTCAGGCCGCCGCTGCCCGCCACCTTCACGCGGCAGCGCCGCGGCTGGGCCACGCGCCACCTGGTGCTGGAAAGCGAGCACGGCGCGGACAGCCTGCTGCCGGCTTCGGGGGCGCAGCCGCCGGGCAGCGCCGGCACGCCCGGCGGCAGTGCCAGCCAGTACATGCGGCTGTGGACCGTCGGCAGCACGCCCAGCAGCTGGCTGTGGGGCGGCTCGACGGCAGCTGCGGGGACCGCCGGGGCGGGCGCTCGGGGCGGCTGGCACGGCGGCGGACACGGCGGCGGCAGGCTGGGTGGCAGGGTGCCCCGGCGGCAGAGCACCTGCCAGCTGGAGCTGGATGCCATTGCAGATCACATCCTCAACCGCCAGCAGGCAGGTGGTTGCTGTGGCTGGCTGGCTGGGAGCTGCTTGCCGGAAACATCCCTGATGATGTGCTGGCTTGCTGAATGGCTGAATGGCGAGGTAACCAAGGGCATTATGCTGCTGTTTGTTTTAGCCAGACCTTGGTGCCTTGTTGCCGCTCGCCTTGGCTGCGCCCCCCCCGTGCAGCTGGTGCGAGTGCCGCTGGCTGGCGCAGGCCCCGAGGTGCGCATGGTGGAGAGCCTGGCGCCGATGTGGGCCGAAGAGGCGGCACGGTGCGGCCCCAGCGGCATCCCCAACCCGCCGCCCAGCCCGCCGCGCTCGCCGCACCCGCTGAGCCACGCCGTGCACGCTGTGCGGCAGCAGTTTGAGGCCATTGCTGCCCAGCAGGCACAGCAGGAGCCGCCGCCACCGCTGCAGCAGCAGCAGCAGCCAGAGCCAGCGCACGCGGCGGCCGCCACTCCGGGCGGACAGCAGGCAGCGGCCGCACCTCACGTGCCGGCGGCGGCAGAGGCGGCGGCAGCCACCCCTGTGTCCCCTGCGATGCCCAGCCCTGCTGCGCGTTGCACGCCCTTGGTGGCGCTGACTCAGCCTGCCAACAGGGCGCTGCTCCCACCAGATGGCGGCATCTCTCCCAGCCCGCCGCCCTTCCCGGCAGCGGCGGCAGCGGCGGCGGCAGCCGGGGCGGATGCCCAGCAGGACTGGCTGGCACCTAGCCAGGCGCAAGCAGGCCTTGTGGCAGCAGCTGGTGGGCAGACGCCCGTCACCCCAGCCTCTGCCCTTCACCCACGCTGGCTGCAACAGCAGCATCAGCAGGCAGGCTGGCAGGGGGCCAGCCACGGTCCCCTGGTGGATGAGCAGCTGCTCATGACGCAGCTGACGCAGCAGCAGCGGCGGCAGGAGCAGCGCTGGCCGCCGCTGTCCCAGCACCAGCAGGAGCCGATGGGCGGGCGGGGCGAAGGAGGGGCCATCAATCAGCAGCCGGGCGCCCTGCCGAGGCTCCAGATGGATGCGGATGCCTGGGCCTGGCTGCAGGTGAGCCAGTCAGTGTTGCCGCCGCATATTGATGCGCCTGCCGGCTGGAGTGCAGTCTCCCGCTGGCATCAGTGCTGCCAGCCCTCCTCCGTTGCTGTCCTTGCTTGGCACAGATGCGCGTGGAGGGCACCCCCGCCGACCGCACCAACGGCGGCGGCAGCAGCAGCGACGAGGAGGATGAGGCGCTGCTGGCGGCGCTGGCCCAGCAGGCAGACGCCTTTGGCACGCCCATCAGCCTGCCGGTCAGCCAGCAGCAGCAGCAGCAGGCTGGCGGGCCGCCCTACTCCCAGCTTCTGGGGGGCGGCGGCAGCCAGGTGCCTGGCAGCCCCCCAGCCACCCAGCAGGTGCGTGGTGCAGGGACCCCAGGCGCCAGCCGACCAGCCTCCTGTGTGGGATCCTGATGCTGACTCCTTCCCATCATGCTGACGCCTCCCTTCCTCCTTTTCCGGGGGGCCCGGGCCTGCGCGGTGCAGGAAGTTGCCATTGCACGAGCGCACTCGGCGCTGCAGCAGGTGCTGGCCAACACGCAGCGTGAGTGTGAAGACATCTTGGCCGCCAGCCAGCAGGAAGAGGAAGAGGAGGAGCAGCAGCATGCGGCTGGGGAAATCCAGCAGCAGGGGCGTGAGGAACAGCGGCAGTCAGCAGAGGGTGATGCAATGCTTGATCCCACCCGCCTGGCCTTTGCCTGGCCGCCAGCAGCGGCGGCAGCAGCCCAACCGCAGGCATGGCAGGCACGGCATGGTCCCCCAGCTGTGTCGCCGCTGCCTTTCAGCCTCTCGCCGGCGGTGCCGCGGCCCCTACCAGAGGCGGCAGGTGGGGTGGCAGATGGAGGGGCAGCGGCGGCAATGGTGTGCGATGTTGAAGACGTGGTGCAGGCACCTCCTAGCTGGGTGAATGGCCAAGCATCGCAGCAGTGGCGCCAGCAGCAGCAGCAGCAGGCGCATGTGCATGTGGAAGACGCTGCAGAGGCGATGGAGGAGGAGGAGGAGGCTGTGTATCTGCAGGCGATGCACATGTTTGAGCAGCAGCAGCAGCAGCCCCCTCAGCAGCAGCAACCACCGCCGCCGCCGCCGCCGCCGCCGCCGCAGCAGCAGCAGCAGAATGGCCAGGCGGAAGCACGGCCAGTGCAGCAAGAGGGCCAGCAGCCGCCGCAAGTCATGCAGGCAGCACAGCAGGACCAGCAGCCTGCGCAGCGGCAGCGTGGGGAGCGGCGCATTCCGCAGGTGGATGGCGCTGCCGACTCGATCCACAGCGATGGCAGCACCAGCTCTGGACCGGGTGCCGGCAGCAGCCAGGTGCGAAGCCATCCTGTGGTTGTTGATGGCTATGTTGCTCAGCTGTGGATCCCACCTGCCCGCACCTGATCCGCTTACCCTGCGCATGCCTGCCTCCTTTGTCCTGCAGCGCCGGCACTCACAAGCATCGCCCTCTCAAGCGCAGGCCCAGCCCCAGCGACAGCAGAGGAGGCGCAGCAGCCAGCAGCAGTCACCCGGCTCGTCGCAGCAGCGCTTTGGTGCCCTGACCTTCCAGTCCCTCTCCCCTCCCAGCAAGCGGCAGCGCCAGCGGCACCAGCTGTTGCACGATGAGTCGCAGGCCGGCGGGGCTGCTGCCCAGCAGCAGCACAAGCAGCAGCGAGCTGAAGAGCCGGAAGAAGCAGCAGTCCTTCTGCCACAGCCAACAGCATCAGCAGCACCGCCACCACCAGTGGCTGCAGCTGTGGCAGGCGCGGCACGGAGGCGGCCAGCCTCAGCCTCGACTCGCCCGCTGACTGGCGGCGGTCAGCAGCAGCAGCAGCTGCGCGTGGCACAGTACAATGTGCCTGGCCTGCGGCGCAGGCGACCGCCCCAACAGCAGCTGCAGGCCCAGCCCCCCGAAGCCGTGCAGCTCCAGGAGGTGCAGCAGCAGCAGCAGCAGCAGGAGGAGCCACCGCCGCAGCCTCACCTAGAGCCAGAGCCAGATGAGCAGCAGCAGCACATTGGTGTAGCATTGCCTGGCGCTGATGCTGCGGCAGCAGATGTGGCGGCAGGTAGTGAGCACGTAACAGAACCTGCCGACGCCCCGCAGCTGCAGCCACCAGCACCAGCGGCAGCGGCCATGGCAGCAACGCCTGCCAGCGGGAGCAACGGGGCAGCACATGTGTCGCAGCAGCGGGTGCGGGAGAGCAGCCAGGCGTTGGCACACGTGCTGGCAACCCTGCACCACCCGGCATCTCCAGGCCACAGCACCGGCAGCAGCAGTGGTGGCAGCAGCTCCCAAGGCCCCAGTGGCAGCGGCCACTCCGGCAACCGCGGCACCAATGGGGCGGGCAGTGGTGAGGCTGCAGCCAGCGGCTCGCCGCCTCCACCGCCACACCTGTCTCGCAAGCAGGTCAAGCAGGGCAGCCAGTCGCTTGAGGAGGTTCTGTCGCTGCTGCACAAGCAGGACGAGATGGAGGAGGGCTCTGAGGGGGAGCAGGGCGGCAGCGGCAGCGGCAGCCAGGCCTCCCTCTCCCCGGCAGCGAGCGGCAGAAGCGGCAGCGCCTGCCACCGTGCCCAGCAACCAGGCTTGGCAGAAGCAGCGGCAGCAGCAGATGTTGAGGAGGAGGACATCCCTGGGCGATGCAATGATCTCATCATTCCTGACAGCCAGCCCACCCCAACGCCGCTGAAGCGCGCGCAGCGGCGGCAGCCGCTGCGAAGCCAGCCGGTGCGGCCTCAGGAGCAGCCGGCACAGCAGGCCCAGGTGCAGCAACATCAGCATCAGCAGCCACAACCTCAGCACCAGCAGCAGCAGCAGCAGCAGCAGCAGGAGGACCAGGAAGAGCAGGAAGAGGAGGTAATGGAAGTTGATGTTCCTGCTGCTGCCCCAGGCCTGCCACAGCCACAGTCGCAAGCGGGTGGCAGCCCACTGGCTTCTCCCCTGCCAGCACCAGCGCTGCCAGCTGCAGCGGCCACCTCTCCCACAGCACTGGAAGAGAGTTTCGGGGGCTTTGCGGTTGAGCTCAGCGGATTCAGCATGCCCGCCCCTGCCATGCCGGCAGCTGGCAGGCAGCTGGCAGGGCGCCAGGCTGGAGGCGAGCAGCTGCAGCTGCAGCCTGCCGACCCACCGGGCAGCACCGCTGCCAGCCACCCGCAACCATCCCAGCAACCGGACTCGCAGCCAAATGAGCAGCAGCCACAGCAGCAGCCGCAGCAGCAGCAACAGATGCAGCAGCTGCTGGAGGAAGCAGGGGGGAAGAGCAAGGACCTTCAAGCCAGCGGTGGCAGCGGGACGCCGCCAGCAGCAGTACACCAGGGCTCTGGTGAGCAGCTGGCCTCGCCCCAGGCAGCACCAGACGCAGCCGGCGAAGGCGTGGCGGCAGAAGAGCGTGCTGAGGTGGCGCCTGCGGTGTTGGATGACGCCTGGGGTGGCGGCGCGCTGTGGGAGGAGTGGGACGGTGATGTCGGTGGCGCTGGTGACGACTACCTGCACCTCACCTATCCTGAGGAGGAGGGGGAGGCGTCCCCTGCGGGCAGCCAGGGCGAGCAGCAGCAGCCGGAGATAGAGCAGGAGGCGGCTGGCATGCCGGGAGGGGAGCAGAGCGGCGGAGGCGAGGCAGCAGTGTGGCGTGTAGCCAGGCCGCCCCCCACGCAGGCAAGCACCGAGTGCACCCCTCTGCCAGGCAGTCCATCACACTGCGTGCCCACCCCGCTCCTGTCCCCTGCTGCTAACCCTCTTTCCACCTGGAGCTGGTGGGCTGCAGGCGGAGCTTGAGGCCAGCGGGTGGCAGCTTGGCGTGCCGCCGGTGGTGGCGCTGCGCGCGCACTACGGCCGGCCACAGGATGCGCCCGCACAGCCGACACTGTTTGCGGGACGGGAGTTTAGGTGGGCGTGCGGATGGGGATGGGTGGTATGGGAAGGTTGCGTGCAGGCAGGACGGGTGCCTATCACACAGGACTTGCTGACCTGCTGGTTGCCTCCCCGCTTCACCTGTGCTTTGCTGGTGCCCACCTCCGCTGCTGCAGGGTGCCCACCGCTTCCATCCGCGAGCTGCCCTCCTTCACAGCAGCTGCGGCACCGCTGGCATGGCAGCACCTGCAGCAGCAGCAGCAGCAGCAGGGGCTTGGGCTTGGGCTTGGGCAGCTCCCGCGCCAGGCCCAGCAGCAGGCGCACCACCGCCGCCACCTGCTGGCGTTTGTGCCCGCCAAGCCGCCCCCCACCCGCGCCGCGACCGATGCCTGGCTCGCCGCCCGCCGCCGCCGCCGCCGCGGCAAGCAGCGGCGGCAGGCCAGCAGCAGCGGGGGCGGCCCGAACTTTGCCATGGATCCCAACACCGGCCGCCTGCTGCCAGTCGGCGGCGCTGCCACTAAGGGTCAGCGCCCTGGCTCGGCACGCGGCAAGGGTGATGCCAGGGATGACGCTGGCGGCACTCCAGCGGGTGGCTTGCTGGGGGATGCAGACCTGCTCGCCACTCCCTCCCTGTGCACCCTGGGTAGCGGCGGCGGCAGCGACGGCGGCAGCCGGGGCGGCACGCCTGCCAGCGCCGTCACGCAGACCCCTGCCCCCACCCATGCGCCAGCGGGCGGGCCCGCGGCAGGCCAGCAGGGTGTGCCGGCTGCGACGAGTCCTGCGGCGAGAGGCGGGAGCTCCAGCGAGGAGGACTGTGGAGAGGAGGAGCAGGTGTGGCGGCTGCGGCACCCTGCCAAGCCCTGTCGCCACCTCTGCACGCTAACCCGTTCCTGCTCCTCTGCCCCACTGTCCCGCCGCAGGTGCTTCCCGCAAGCCCCAAGTATGATGAGCGCACTTTCTTCTTCTCCAACCCCTTCCCAGCCCTCCAGCTCACGCAGGGGGCGGGCCTGCAGCCCTCCCAGCAGAGGCGGCGCCGGCTGGAGTTGCAGCGGCAGCGCTCGGCAGCCACCGGTCCCGCACCAACCGCGGGGCAGCAGGTGCAGCAGGCGCATGCCGCGGAGCAGATGCTTGCCGCACAGCGACCGCGCATGGCCGGCCTTGGCAGCGCAGTGCAGCAGGCGCTGCCATCTTCTCGGCTGGGGGCAGGCGCCACTCCTGACGAGCAGCAACAGCAGCAGCAGCAGCAGCAGCAGCAGCAGCAGGGGCCACGGCCCGGCGGCGCCCTTCTCAAGTCGGTCCTGAAGAGCGCCTTGAAGAGCTCTGCAGCGGCAGGAGAGGCGCGGCAGGGCAGCCAGGAGCTGGCGCCGCGGCAGCTCCTGCAGCGCCAGCCATCCCAGGCCTCTGATGGCAGCGGCAGCAGCGCCAATCGCGTCAGCTTTGCGGGCGCTGGGGCGGACGGAGACGGCGCCAGCCAGCGGGCGGGCCCCAGCAGGCTGTCGTTTGAGCCTGCGGCGCAGGCACAGCAGGCGCAGCTGGCTGAGGAGGCGACCCCCCACGCCGGCGCCGGCGCAGGAGCGGGAGCAGCAGCCGGTGGCGGCGCCCCGGCTGGCTCCACCCAGCAGACCGGCCTTGGCACGGGCGCCGGCGCAACCGCGACTACCGGTACCACCCGCATGCGGCGGCCGGGCTTTGTCAGCCAGATCACGCCGCCATCTCCCGGCCTGGCGGGCACCGCTGGCCCCACGCCGTTGAGCCAGGCCGGGTTCAAGCAGCGGCGGTGCGTGTCCGGCAAGGGGCAGCAGCTGACGCTTCTCTCGCTGGAGCTGCACGCAGACAGCAGGTGGGGGATGCTGCTGGTGGGCTGGGGATGACTCGCTGGTGGTTGTGTGGTGGCGGGGAGCCGGAAAGGCCAGGGGCAGGAAGCAGGAAAGGCCAGGGGGAGGGGTCAGTGCATGCCGTCCTGCAGGTATGGGCATGCATTGTCTGTCCCCGAGCTCTTGGGCGACTGTGTGTGCAGGGGCTCGCTGCTGCCAGACCCTCGCCACGATGCGGTGCGGGTGATCGTGCTGGCGGTGGCCGATGATGACGAGGAGGTGCCCGATGGTGAGCGGGGGCGTGGAGCGGCAGCAAGATCTGGCCAGCAAGATCTGGGCTGACCTTAGCTGAGCAGCACTGCGGATGTCCAGAGTCAACAGAGGCAGGCCTTGGACGGTGGAGCAAGTTCCCTCCACCGCTGCACTCACGCGCGCTAACCGCCTCCCCCTTGTCCTTGTCTGCAGCAAAGTACACCACTCGTGTGCTGGTCTTTGACGAGACTCTGGCCGCCGCCCCGCCCGCTGCCGCTGCGGCGGCGCCCCAGCAGCAGCAGCAGCAGCAGCAACAGGCACAGCTGCCACCTGGCGACTCGGCTGCCCCAGCGCCCGCAGCGCAGTCGTTACCGCCAGCAGGCCCACCCCACCACCCCACTGCTGCCACCTCGGATGCACCAGCGGCTGCGGGGCCGGGCGGCAGCCCTGTGTCGCCGGCTATGGCAGCAGGCGTTCTGCTGGAAGGCATGCCGGAGCCTGAGATTGTGGCAGCCCCGCCGGCAGCCAGCACGGCCGTCGAGGTCCTGCTGTCGCCGCCCGCCGGCAGCTGCCAGGAGGCAGGGCCGCCGCACAGTGCGTCACCCTCCGCAGGTCGGCCCACGGCAACACCCCGGGCGGCGGCGGGGCTGCGCAACCCTGCTGCTGTGGATGCGCTGGGGGAAGATGTGCAGGTGAGAGCCAGGGCTGGCGTCACCCGCTGCTTTGCTTCTTGGATCTGTTGGTTAAATGTGCATGCTGTGGCCTTGCGGCAAGCACCCCTTGGGCGCTAGGCCGAGCGGCTGTCCTCCCTCTTTCCCTGCTCCTCCCCTCTCTTTGTCCATGCCAGCGCCAGCCTGCCGCGGTGCACACCACCAGCCGTTCCAGCTCCTACCTCCCTGCCACCCTGTCGCCAGGTGGACCTGTATGCCAGCGAGGCGGCCCTGCTGGGCGCGCTGGGCGCCGCCGTGGCGGCAGCAGACCCCGACATCCTGCTGGGCTACGAGGTGCAGCGGGCCAGCCTGGGGTACGCCGCGGAGCGAGCCGCCGCGCTGGGCCTGCCCAGCCTGCTGAGGGCGCTGTCGCGCCTGCCCAGGGTGAGGCGATGGGGGGTGGAGGGGGCGGTGCCGAGATGCCTGGATGAGGGGGGCCGAGGACCGGCGGGTGACTGGCCGCTGGCGCAGCCCAGCAGCTCAGTAGCGCCACCCGCGCCCTGCCCTGGTTCGTCCCTGCTCCTGCAGACGGCGGGCGAGAAGGAGGGTGTGGGGGGCGGCGGTTCTGACAACCCCGCCGACGAGTACGCCTGGCAGACGTCCAGCGGGCTCTACTGCTCGGGTCGCATCGTGCTCAACGTGTGGCGCCTCATGAAAGACGGTGGGTTGGGGCAGGGTCTGAGGGGTGGGGTGCAGGCGACTGCCAACCTATGCATGCAACCTGGGATGCTCCATTCCATCCGCATCACTCCCCGCCCACAGGCGCCACCCGCCCTTTAAGTGTCGCATCCCACCCCCACCCCTGCCCTTTCCAGAGCTCAAGCTGACCAGCTACAGCTTCGAGTCGTGCGCCGCGGCGGTGCTGCAGCTGCGCGTGCCGCATGTGCCGCAGGCGCAGCTGCACGCCTGGTTTGCGGGCGGGCCCGGCGCCGCGCGGTGGCGGTGCCTGGCCTACTGGGCCCGCCGCGCCCGCCTCAACCTGGCGCTGCTGGACCAGCTGGACCTGGTGGGGCGCACAGGGGAGATGGCGCGCACCTTTGGAATAGACTTCTTCTCGGGTGGGTGGGTGGGTGGGTGCAGGAGGCGGTGCTGCCCTGCTGCCCCTGAGCGACCCCCGGCCAACCTGCCAGCCAGCCCCGTATGCCTATGGAGCTGACCCCACCCCATGCCACGCGCGCCACGCACATGCCACACACAGACCCTCCGCCCGCCTGCCCCTCCCCCTTCCCCCCCTGCAGTGCTGTCGCGCGGCAGCCAGTACCGGGTGGAGGCGATGATGGCGCGGCTGGCCCACACCCAGAACTACCTGCTGGTGCACGCGGGGCGGGAGCAGGTGGCGCGGCAGGCGGCCATGGAGGCGATACCGCTGGTCATGGAGCCGCGGTCGCGCCTCTACACAGACCCGCTGGTGGTGCTGGACTTCCAGGTGAGGGTGAGGGTGCGGGTATAGGCTGGTGGAGGGAGGGTGGGGGGCCTTGCGATGGCGACGGTAGCGTGGGAGGCTTGGAGGGTTGCCATCAGGCGTGGGGCATGCCATCAGGGATAACGTGACGTCAGCGGGGCCGGCCCTGTGCACCCCCCTCGCAACACACGCTCGCTCGCCCACACTCACGCCGACCCCGCCCTCCTTTCTTTCCCTCCCTCCTTTCCTCCCAGTCCCTCTACCCCTCCATGATCATCGCCTACAACCTCTGCTTCTCCACCTGCCTGGGGCGCCCTGCACACGCGGCCGCCGGCGACGACCCGCCCCCAAAGCTGGGCGCCGTCGAGTATGGCCTGCCCGCGGGCAGCCTGGCAGGCAGCCTGGCGCCGGAGCGGCTGGTGGTGGCGCCAAACGGGGTGGCGTTTGTGCCGCGCGAGGCGCGGCCGGGGGTGCTGCCGCGGCTGCTGTCCGAGATCCTGAACACACGCATCATGGTGGGCTGGGTGGCGGCTGGGCAGCCATGTGTGTGTGTGTGTTGGGGTTCCTGGCCGCACATCTTGCCTGCGAGCCTACATGCTCGCCTGCGTGTTTGCCTGTTCCAATCCCAGCCTCTCCCTCTCACCCACCTCCCGGTACCCTCCCTCCACGCGGCACGCGCAGGTCAAGGGCGCCATGAAGCGCTCCCCCAAGTCCGCCAAGGTGCTGCTGCGCTGCCTGAATGCGCGCCAGTTTGGGCTGAAGCTCATCGCAAACGTGACGTACGGCTACACGGCGGCGGGGTTCTCGGGTGGGTGGTGGTGGTGGTGGAGATGGTGGTGGAGGGTGAGGGGCAATGCAGAACATGGAGCAGGTGCTGATCTGTGGGCAGCATTGGAAGTGGCAGATGGCGGGATGGCTGCTCCGGGCCCGCTGCGAACTGGCTGGTGGGCTGCCCCGGGTTGCACGCTGTGCCATGCTTTGCCATGCTGTGGTCGTGCAGGGCGCATGCCCATGGCTGAGCTGGCGGACGCCATCGTGCAGTCGGGGCGGGAGACGCTGGAGAGCGCCATTCGGCAGGTGGAGGGGCATCCAGAGTGGCGGGCGCAGGTGGTGTACGGGGACACAGGTGGGACCTGGGGGCTGGGGCTGGTGCTGGGGCTGCGTGCGCGGTGGGCGAGAGCTTCCTTTTTGTGGTTGGAAGTGGCACGCTGTGTGCTGGGTGGGCTGAGGCATGGGGCTGGAAGCAGCAGGCGGACCCACGACTCCCAGCAGGCTCTCAACAGCTGGGGGTGCCCCTTCGTCTCCCAGAGCTGCTGGTCTGACTAGTGTATGATCTCCCGCCCCTGCACCGGCTCTCCCTACCTCTTCTGCCGCAGACAGCATGTTTGTGCTGCTGCCGGGGCGGTCAAGGGGCGATGCCTTCCGCATAGGGGCCGAGATCGCGGCAGCCGTCACAGCCGCCAATCCGTCGCCCGTTGCACTCAAGATGGAAAAGGTGGGTGGGGCGGGTGTGGTTGCAGGTTGCGTCCTGAGGCGGGGTGGACAGATTTCGTCAGCATGAAGCGAGGGGAATGGCAAGCTGGGGGACTTGGCGATCCTGGCTGGCTGGCACTGTTGCTTGAGCACATCCAGCATCCAGCATGCCGCGGCCAAAGGGCTGCTTTCCCACCACGGTCCGCCCTGCCTCCCCCCGCTGCTGCCTGCCACCTCCACAGGTGTATGATCCCTGCGTGCTGCTCAGCAAGAAGAGATACGTTGGTTTTGCGTACGAGTCGCCCACGCAGGTGGATGGTGGATGGTGTGGTGCCAGCCTGAGTGTAGGGAGGACTGGAGGGGGGCGGGTGTATTGGGTCGCTCCCGACCCCATCCTTGCAGCTCAACACACATCACCTCACCCCCACACACACCCCACCACCCCACCACCACCCTGCCTGCCCCACCCTGCCTGCCCCCCCAGGCGGTGCCCGTGTTTGACGCCAAGGGCATAGAGACGGTGCGGCGCGACCAGTGCCCCGCCGCCGCCAAGATGACAGAGGCGGTGCTGCGCCTGCTGTTCACAACCAAGGACCTGTCGCAGGTAGGGGCGGCCGCTGGTGGGCGCGTGCAGGGTGCGGGGCGGCGCCCATGGCAGCCAATCCCCTTTCCGCCCTGGAGGGGAGGGCATGGGGGGAGGGAGGCGTTGGCTGCCGGCGGATACCTGCCGACTGCATCCCAGCTGCCCACACACGCACACCCCACCCCACCCCCCTCCCGCCCAGGTCAAGGAGTACTGCGTGCGGCAGTGGAGCAAGATCCTGGCGGGGCGGGTCAGCGTGGCAGACTTTGTGTTTGCCAAGGAGGTGAGGCAGCTGGGCCTGGGGTGTGCCTGGGCGACGCCGGGCGCATGGCTGCTGCAGCGCAGGGCGCTCCCCGCGCCCGAAGGAGGCGCCCGCCACCCGCCACGACACACCTCACCATGGCTGGTGGCCGCACTATCATCCCCCTGCAGGTGCGGCTGGGCACGTATTCGGCCAAGGCGGCGCACGTGCCTCCCGCCGCGCTGGTCGCCACTCGCGCCATGGCGGCAGACCCCAGGCACGCGCTCAGCCGCCCGCCCGCTGCCCCGCCAGCCAGCCAGCCACGCGTGCGGCTGCATCCCCTGCGCGGCACCCAGCCACCCTCAGCCGCACGCTCTCAGCCGCCTGCCCGATTCCCTCCCGACCTCCTCGCCAGCCTCCCTCCTCGCCTTGCCACCACCCCGCCGCCTAGCCTCCCACCTGGCCTCCCACCTGGCCTCCCACCTGGCCTCCCACCTGGGCCCTCCCTTGCACCCTCCACACCTTCGTGCCCCGCAGGGCGGAGCCCCGCTTCGGCGAGCGCGTGCCGTACGTGGTTGTGTTTGGCGAGCCCGGGGCGCGGCTTGTGGACATGGTGGCGCCGCCGCGTGCGCTGGTGGAGGGCGGCGGCCGCCTGCGCCTGCACGCCCTCTACTACATCACCAAGGCCATCCTGCCCGCGCTGGACAGGGTGCTGTCGCTGGTGGGGGCGGACTGCAAGGTGGGGGTGGGGTGGTGGGGTGGGGGTGGTATGTGTGTGTGTGTGTGTGTGTGTGTGGCGGTGGTGTGCAGGGCCTGTGATGATGCTAGCAGGCCACGCATCGCTGTGTCAAGGTGGGATGGCGGGGGCGTGCCCCCCGCCTGCAGCTGCTCTGGCCTCTCAATCCTCTCTCTCCCCCTTTGTGCGTGCAGGCCTGGTTTGCGGAGATGCCGCGCCCCAGCCGCATGCTGCCGCAGAAGCGCCCCGCCGCCTCGCTGCCGCTGCTGGCCGCCTCCAACGCCGCCGCCGCCACCAGCGGCGCCGCCAGGCATGCGGGCTTGCCGCAGCCGGCGGCCAGGGCCCGCACGATTGACAGGTGGGCTGGGGGTACGTGCGGCTGCTCTGCCTGCGCAGCGCGTCTCGAGCAGCTGCCCTGCCTGCGCCCATGGCACCAGCCGGCCGACCTGTGCCCCTCGTGGCATCCCTGACGCCCAGCCTGGCGCTGGCCTCGCTCCTCCCCATACGCTGACCCAACCAGCATGCCTCTTGGCCTCATGCCTCCTCCCCTCCCCCCACACGCAAAGCAGGTACTACCTGTCCCGCCACTGCGCCGTGTGCGACGGCCTCACCCACGCCACCAAGCCGCTGTGCGACTGCTGCACCGCGCAGCCGCAGCTGGCGGCGGCGGTGCTTTCCTCCCGATGGAACCGCCTGGAGCGGCAGTACGCCCAACTCGTGCGCCTCTGCCTGCACTGCGGCGGCGGCGGCGGCAGGCAGGTGTCGGAAGGTGGGTGGGGGCCGGGTGGGCAGGGCTTGCCTTCCCTGCCTCTGCCCTGCCAACGGTGCAAGTGCCCTGATAAGAGCAGGCCTGGCATACACACCACAGGCAGCGGCCTGGACAACCTGGCTGCTGGGGGCGCTTCAGCGCAGCCCAGGCCGAGCCGTGCGCATGCCGCCTGCCTCGCCCCACCCCTGCTGCCCTCGCACCGCTGACGACCAACCACCTGCCTGCCGCGCCCCGCCTGCCTTGCCGGTGTGCTGCAGGCGGCGTGGTGTGCGACTCTCTGGACTGTGGTGTGTACTACGAGCGCCGCAAGGTGCACGGCGAGCTGGCGGCGGCGGCGGCGCTGGCGCAGGCAGGCCTGCACCTGCTGGAGAGCGAGTGGGAGGCGGGGCGTGGGGGGCGGGAGGGCGTGCCGGGGGCGCGGTGACGCCTCGAGCGCCGCCCTCAGCCCACGTGCCCCATAGGCAGCCTGTGATCGGCGGCACCCTGCCACCCCAGGCAGCCGGTTCAAGGTGACCCTCGATGATTGTTTTTTACAGACAGCACACATGACACAGACGTTGACCAATCAGATGCATTTGATTTTCATTCCCTCGGTGTACCCCTTCCTGTGTACCTCAGTCATCTCAGCTCTGTGGCCTTGTGGCTTCACATGAGAATTAGAAAAAGGGCTTGTATTCAGGCGTGTTCAAAGCTGGCGGCGCCAGGTCAGGGGCTGGGCAGTGTGGCTTTCAAACAACGTGCCGCGGCGCAAGAGAACGTCAGAACACCTCGTGCGGGGAGGGGAAGCATGGGGTCAGGAGACGGAAAGAATGGGCATGGGCGCGCACTGGGTGGGCGCCTCACCACTGCTGGTGTGCGGCGCCCCGCCTCACCACTCCTCATCCAGCTCCCGCACCATCTCAGCGGTGATGCCCTGACCAGCCACCACCTCCGACTCCACCACACCGCCCAGGATCTCAGCCGCAATCTCGGATGCGGGGGGCACCGCCTCGCAGCCGCCGTAGCCGCCAGAAGAGGTGGTGGCCGGCGTGGGGGCAGCGTTCGTGCCGGCGTGGCTGCCAGGCGCCGGTTCGGTGCCCATTGCGCTTGAGCCAGGCCCTTCCCTCTCCCCACCAGACGTGCTGATGCTGTGCAGGGGGTCGGTGGTGCGGAATGGCTGGCAGCCTTGCTCAAGTCGCGGCGCAGTTGCACCAGACGGCGTGGGCTGCGCTTCTGGCAGCGGAGCTGTGGAGGCAGGGGCCGGAGCAGCATCTGCAGCGCTGTCGCCAGCCCCAGAGTCTGCCTCACCCGTGCCGGCCTGCAGGTTGAAAGGTGGCACCATGTGACTTGCTGAAGACAAGCCATGCGCAGAGCAGTGAGGTACGCTGGCAGCTTGCCTGGTGTGACAGGGTGCCCGCCGCCCTCCTTTTCTTGGCGGGGCGCTCGTTGCCAGAGGAAGCTGCCCGGGGGCTCCCCTCCTTGCTGGTGGGGCCTGCTGCGGAACATGGAATGCAGGCGGCAGGCAGGTTGGCTGGCAACTGATGGCTGCTGTTAAGCACTTGGGCTGCTGGCCTGGGGGTGGCTGGGTGGCAAAGCACGCCCGTGATCGCGGCGCAACCGCACTCACCCTCGCCGTTGTCGTCGCTCCCGCCGCTGGCGCTCAGTGCATTGCCGTCCTCCTCAACGCTGTCGCGAGCGCGCTTGCCGCCCCTCCCACCCTCCACCAACTGTCTGAGAGCAGAGCCCGCTCCCAGCCCTGCCAGAGTGAGCAGGGCTGTGTACAGCACCATGCTTGGCTGCCGGCTCCTGGTGCAGCCTGGCAGCTTCCGAGGCAATAGGTGTGGAGGACCCTCCACTTTGGAGGGCAGAGAGATCACAGATCAATCTGCCACGTCAGGGCAAAACCCTAAGACCTGGCCGCCTCCTTTTGCTGTGCCTCACTTTCTCGGTCGTCTGCAGGGACGATGGCTGACTCTCTCCCAAGTGGCGGTGGCCCTCCCAAGGGCCCGCTGCAGCCGGGGGAGCTTGAGGCGGCCTGGACGCTGCTGCCCTCGACTTCCCAGGCAGAGGAGGTTTCGGAGCCACAGGTGCAGCAGCCTGAATTGCCGCCGCCGCATGTAAGGTCACGGTCGCGCAAACCTTGGCGGTGGCTCCGACGGGCAGATCGCGTCCCATCCCCTGTCGCGGCAGCCGGCGCCACCGCCGTCCGAGTCGCCGCCCAGCTCGGCCTCCCCCGCCGTGCGTCAGCCCTCCCTGAGCGAGGTGCTGCTGAAGGAAGAGCGGCCGCTGCTGGAGCGCGAGATCCTGAAGCTGCAGCAGGAGAAAGATGTGAGCGGCGGCATGCTGCGGTAGCAGCGCTCGGCCTTCCAAGTGCATGCACACGGCGCAAAACCCTGGCTTGCTGGGCTCCGCTCACCAGTCGGCTCCTCTCTCTGCCTCCGTCGCACATGCAGGAGCTGGAGGCAGAGCTGCAGCAGCGCGAGGGAGAGATCGAGCATCTGGAGGCCTGCCACAAGCGTGTCTGCCTGTCCCAGCTGGCCTTCACGCTCCTGATGCAGGCAGTCGTGGGCACACTCATCTCCCCGGTGGCGCCAGGCACCCCTGTGCAGGCCTGTGCTGCTGCGCGGCGGGCTGAGCTTGGGGTGGGGGCCACGTGCTGGGGGAGCACTGGTGGCTGCTGCCTGACCAGCCCCAGCAGCAGCCCGCCGCTCCCTGAGCCCCTCCCACCCCCTGCTCTGCCTGCAGGTCACATGCGCCACAGGGCTGGCACTTGCGGCTGTGGGTGGCATGGGGGTGTGCGCGGCATGGCCCTTGCTCTGGCACCCACCCCGATATGGCGGCAAACAGGAGGAAGAGGAAGAGGAGGAGGAGGTGGAAGATGATGAGGCGGAACACGAGGTGGCTGGCCCTGCTCGCATCGGCCTGCTTCACCGGTGGGCAGCTGCTTGGCAGGCAGCCACCTCCTGGGCAGGCTCCGCTCGCGGAAAGAGCCAGCGCTGCATCGCGGCCGTCGTTGACAGCGTGGCGGCGGCCGCGCGCAGCGTGCTGGCGGGCATCCAGAAACCATTCAGGGCTGCAGCGCGTCACGTGGCGGCGCACGCAACCTTCTATGTCGGCGTGGCGGTGGGTGCCGCGCTGGTGGCCCTGCTGGCAGGCACCGCCCTGGCGCTGGCGCCTGGCGCCAGGAGCCCGGCAGGTGAGCACTTTGGGTTTGCTGTAATAGGGTGTACGCTAGGGTGTATGCTGAAACATGGCTCAATTCCCTGCTGCCGGCCCTGGTGTCATGGGCAGGTGAATGCCCCACCCTCACCCTCACTGTGCTCTCACTCCAGGCTCCGGCGCTTCACCTCTCAGCGCCCTGCCCACCCTGCTCACCACTGCCCCCTCCTCGCCCGCCTCGCCCACGCCACACACCTCGGCCACCGCCCCAGAGGCGGTTGTCAGCAACGCCGGTCCCGCCGCCAACAGAGAGGGCAGCGTCAGCGCCGGCCCACCCGAGCCATCAGACGGCGGGAGCGGCTGGCAGAGTGGTCCCGCCATCCAGCCGCCAGCCATCCCCGCACCACCGCCGATCCGCCCGCCGCCACCTCGCTGGGCCGGGCTGAGGGCTGGTGCTGGTGCCGGGCAGGAGCCCACACCCCCTCCGCAGAAGCGGCAGAAGCAGTGGCCCTCTCCGCCCCCACGCATGCCAGTCCCAGCTGCCGAGAAGCGGCAGGAACAGGGGCACCCTGCAGCTGCTGCTAGCCCTGACAGCGATGTGCCTGCCGCCGCCTCTGCTGGCGAGGCAGCAGGGGAGGCCTTGGCCACCGCCGACAAAGGCGGCGCCATCCCGCAGCTGTGGCGCGCCCTGCTGAGCCGTGCCGGCCAGCTGCACCCCTCGCTGCCTGCAGTGCTGGACCAGCTGGCAGGTGAGAAGCCGCCGGCCCATGTGAGCCCCCGGGCAGGCTTGGTACCGCAGCCTTGAAGCAGCCTGGCATCCTGCAGGCTGCAGGCTTGGTGCTGGCATCTTGCCAGGAGCAGGCCGCCTGCCGCACCTGCCTGCAGGCGTGGCGCTGGGGCTCGCCGCCTTCCAGGCCTTCTGCGCCTGCATGTCATGGTGCCGCCAGGCGCCCTGAAGCGGCTGTGTGAATGATGCGGCAGCACGGCAGTGGCAGCAGGGCAGCAGCAAGGCAGCGGCAGCGCAGAATGGTCATGGCAGCAGCAGGCAAGCGCAACTCTTGCAGTGTTTGTGGGAGGTTGGGGATTTTTGAGTGGACAGCACTCGGGGGGGAAAGAGGTCTCAACATATGTGGGGACTTTCACTCTGCTGCACAGTACCTTTTTAGCTGAATGTACAGATAACAGCCAGCAGTGTAACCTTCACAACGCTACAGTGGGGGCCCTCCAGCGCATCACCCTCATCTTTCCTGGTGCCCTATCCTGCCCTGCTCTGCGAGAGCGAGGTTTGGCAAGGTGACAGAGAAGCGGATGGGACAGGAAAGCGGACAGAAAACAAGTATGCAGGAGAACATGCAAGCAGGAAACAGGTCAATATAAGCGCAGCGCTACCGCTGCTCCTTGTCCGCCGGCGGCGCGGGCGCGTGTGCCCCCAGGTCGTCCAGCCGGGAGTACAGGTACTGCAGGATGGTGGCAAAGGCATCGTCCTGGGCGGGGTCGTAGTCGGTCAGCGACGGCGGCGCGCTCTTCACCTCCGCCTTGCTCGTCTCCTCCCGCCGCTCCGCCAGCAGCTGCTTGACCTGCGCGGTGTAGGGTCGGAAGCCAGACCACAGATGCCTGCGAGGGGGAGGGGGAGGGGCGTGGGGGAAAGGGCGGGCGGGCGTGTGAGGGCTGCCACGAGCAGAGGGGTCGCAGGCCCGCTGCAGCCCAAGTGCGCTCACATGCAGGCCAGCACCACAGCGCCCCCCGTGCCCCATGGCCTGCTGGGCCTCCTTCATCACCCATGA